ACACTGCTAGTGTATTATAGTGTATTATATATAGTATTATATTATATATATATATATGTATTATATTATATATAGTGTATTATATTATTATAAATTATTTTTATATTATAATTATTATATTATATTATTATTATATATATATATATTATATATTTTCATTTTGTTAATTCTAGTTAGGAGTTTCTAACATAACAATCTTGAACTCTATATTCTATGAGTATTGAAACCAACTTTACAACATCATCATATAAAATTAATCCATTAAAAGATGTAATTGTATCCAACTTCAAGTTTATATCATAGGCATTAGAGTTGCAAATATAAAGAAATACTAGGACACTTATCAGTGAGAATTAAAAGTAATGCAACCTAATAAGATCTTATGTTGAAAGTAAGCCCTTATGCTTTGTTCATTAAGCCTAATAGTTTTCCCACGACTAGACAGTAAAATCGACATTCTATCAAATCAGAAATGAATTATCTTTTATAACTTACTGATGACACAGATATCTTGTGTGCCGTCATTAATTGCAATTAAGGACACTAATATGGTATCAATAGGCTAAAAAATAGCGCAGATACCAAGAAAATGCGTTGAAAAGGTGGAGGTCTGGACACAGATCGAAAATCACAAAAATATGGCTTTAAATGCTAGCATAAAAGAAACATATTCGTAGTAATGCGAAATTGGTTCCCTTGGGATTTTGATTAATTTTTTTTTATTGTTCAAAAAATATATAATTTTTAATAGAAAACGTGTATTTCTATATTGATTATAATGTCCCAATTTTTATATGGACTAAAATATTGTTATTTTAAAAGATCTACTGCACTTTTACACACCAAAATTGAACAGTAGAGATTTGTATTCGAGAACAAAAGTTGAAATATATTTCGTTTAAATATTTTTTATTTCATATAGAATCAATAATTTCTACCTCTACATCCAATTCAAGGATCAGAGTAAGATTGACAATCCAAATAAATGTAACTCTCAGTTGATAGTACCAAGCAAATAGAATAGATAATTTGTAGAAAACTATCAAAACGAGGACACTTTGGATATTTCATATATAACATCATTATATAGTTTGAAGAGTCGTCTTCTAAAATTGTTTTGAATATATTTTTCTCCTGACTTAAAGACGTTGGGCTTATGTGAAACTTGCTTCACAGCCCCGCCACCTTCTTTCTTTTAACTATGAAAGTGGAGACTGAACAATCTTGGGGTTGTTATATAGCATTCAATTAACTCTTTTGTCAATTCTAATTTTTATGCAGTCAAGACAGAATATATATATATTCACTTAAAATACAAATTTTTTTTTGTGACTTTAAATAGAGCATAATATTCTAATTCTGCATACTAAATTTCAGATCCTATTGCAACCAGAAACAGTTTATGAACGTGTACAATTTCAATTTGAGGAAGATGCATTCGATGCTGTTCCTGACCTCATCACGTTTTATGTTGGTTCTGGTAGGTAGAGTTAAATTTCATTTTTATATCTATATGGTATTTCTTATAAATATAGTGTTTTCATTATAAATTTTTAGGTAAGCCCATTTCGGCAGCATCAGGTGCACGTATACAATTTCCATGTAATCGTACATATCCGCTCTCATTTTATGGCCACAAAATAGTTGGAAACCAATTGCACACACAAATGTTAGCAGGCATTCGGGGGACAAGTCCACTAAACTCACCACTTAGCAATAACAGTAGCTTCCGGTTTGGTACAACAGCCGTACAACAAATGCAACAACAGCAGGGACAACAGCACCAACAAACTAATAGTCCAATGTCTTCGCCTCCACGCGTTAAACGTGATATACCACCGCGCTTACCCTCGAAGAAGCAACGTTCACAAAGTCTCACACCGGCTCAAGCCATGGTTGTGTCGAATATGAAGCATTGTGATAGTGGTGATGAGAGCAATAATGGTGATGCCATAATAAATGGTAATAGTGTTAGCTTTAAAGGCGTACGCCGTTTTAGTAACTTCGAGAAGTGTAACAGTCTTGGTGGGTCACCAAGTGAACAACAATTGCAAACCGCACATTTAGAACATATAATGTCACACAATAAAATTCACAGTAATGGCTTCCAAACTATAGCACGTTGTTCGGCAAGTGAGATAGTGGACCATGTTAAGTTCACCACTCATTCACTGCCACGACCTGCGACAAACTCTTTTCGTACGAATACGACACGCATATCTGGTTTAGCACGTGACTTTAGCACTGAGTCTAGTTCCAGTTTAAACACCAGCTTAGACGGTAAACAAATTCCAGAGTTACCAGAAAAAGCACCAAGTCCGCCTCCAAAACCAAATCGTGTACCGCCGACTTTGCCACGCAAAGAAAAAGATATAATAACACTGGAACAACAACAAAATTCTTTGCATCGAGCAGCTGCAGCAGCAGCTGCCGCTGCTGTTTACCAGGCAAGCGGTTCAGATTCAGGCAACGGCTCAGGGGATTCAGTACAAAGTTCGATACCGGGTGATATGAGCGAATTTACGTTACACCGTGGAGTTATTATTAAAAATCCACGCTTTATGAGTAACTCTGCGTCTTCTGCAACACTAAAAAGTCTAACCGAATTCGACGCTGCTGCGGCGGAAGATCAATTATTTACTTTGGAAATACCCAAATTTAAGCCTGTAAGTTATATATGCGATTTAGGTCAATTAATATAAAATATGTAAAAAGATATCGTAAACAAAGTAATGAAATGTAATTGATGTCGAAAATTATTTTTACAGGTTTCGAAATTTGATATTGAAAATTTCAGCACATTGCTGCTACCATCTGTGGACAATAAGCCATTAGATGGAGATGCGTTAAGCACATTCAAAATGATGCTATTAGAGACTGGCCCCAAAATGATAGCAGAACACATAACACGCATTGACATAAGTTTGCTACTCGAAGAGCTGCCTGAAGAGGATGAGAATTACGAGCATAATGTATTAGATTGCTGTGGTCTAGAAATGCTAACTCTACCACAGGGTAAGGTCTTCCGACACGACCTCATTGAGCGTACACAATGTATTAAGCTAATGGTAGCTGTAACAATACTTACATGTCAAACTGATTTGGATCGTGCTGAAATATTAAGTAAGTGGATACAAATTGCTGTTGAAACAAAAACAGCCCTAGGTAACCTATTCGGATTTTGTGCCATAATGTTAGGATTGTGCATGCAACAGGTAAGTTGTTTTCCTTCAAGCTATTAGTGGTCTTTAATGTTTATGATAAATATTAAAAATTTATGAAGATACAAAAACTGGATCAAGCATGGCATATTTTACGTCAAAAGTACACAGATAGTGCATTTACATTCGAGGCGAAACTGCGACCAACTTTAATAAGCATGAATGAATGTTCTAACCCACAAGCACCAAATACCACCGTTCCACACGTACTTCTCTATGCTTTACTCAAAGATCGGCAAGTAATCGATATACTAAATATTAATAGCACGATTGAGAGGTCGTCTTTGTACATGACCTGCATTACATCTTGGGAGAATAAAGCTGATGATTTTGGCATGTCTATTAATTTTCTTCATTTGGATTCAGCTCGAAATTTTTTAGCGAACCTGACACTCTTTCGAAAAAATGCTAAAATTGTACTAGAGGAATCCAATTCACGTTTGGATGAACTACTTAGTGATGCGTTTAGGTAAGTATTGATGACGAATAGTGTAAATATATATTGAATATTTCTTAATAATTGCCGTACGTTGACTAAATTAAGACTATAACAATTAGTGCTAGTACCCATTATTATTATTAAAACTTTTGTCGTAAAGTTTCCCTACAATCGGTACTACGGCCAGAAGAGTTCTATTGTACCAAATTCACATTTAATTGTACAAAATCCTTTTAAACTTTGTGAACAAAGTCCAGAACTAAATTTGGAGAAGAGCTCTTAATCTGTTCTGGTGACAGAATTTCCATATGAAATAAGTTTCTTCTGTGCGTTGTCAAAGCTTGACAATTACGAAGAATGTATATTCTTCGTATACATTCCTCATCTACGAGCCATTCTACATTCCGAATTAGCAGATAATCGAAGTGCAAACTCTTTTAAGTGATGACTCATCGATAGCCAGTTTTTGTATTTTATAGAAGAAAGTTCGACTAAAAGTGGTATTTTGTAAAAATCAGTCATCTTAAAGAAATACCCATTCAAGAGATGTATAGGTTGAGAGAATATTCATCACATATATACGACTTTAATTTTGAATACTTTTTGTTTACAGATATTACATTGCTTTTTTTATAGAAAACATGCTCCTATATTCCAAACTCAATAGGCATATTTGTCTTATTTATCATATAAATCTCACCCACATATGTATATGTTTTTGATATTTCTCATGTTTACTATAGCCACCTGTAAAATTACAAAAGCTCATTAATATGATCAATTTTGAAATAAGCAAATATATAAATATGCAGAATAATGAAGCAGGATAATTTTCCAAAGTTTAATAGGTGTAAAACGAAGCATTACATTAAAAATTACAGGACACTACCAAACAATATAACTACACTGCATATTCGTCTTAATACTTAGACAGAATGGAATCGACATGAATGAAACATGTGAAAAGGGTGCGGTAAATTTACTCATATGATCCAAATCATTCAGTAGACAAATTACTTGTGAGACTATATCCGTACTTAAAAATATTTAATATAAATTCTTTGATAAGGCATAAGTGAGAATTTCAAATACCTGAAGTAATTCAAGAACCCAATTACCGACAATATCAAAATAATGTAAATGTTTCTCAATATAAAGAGATCAAGTTTCTTAAACGTAAATTTTCTTGTTGACTATAGTCTTTCGAGAATGGGGCTAATGGACATCAACACCTATAGAATATATGAAAGAAATAGGTCCAGAATCTTCCTTTTGTCTGAGATTTTAAAGCAAGAAATATTATTAGCTTTGTCAAACAACTTAAATTGTGTAACCCTTTTTAGGTCTATATAGATTTTTTAAACCACAAAAACCTATTTTCTCTACTAATAATAATATATTACTGTTTAAAATTAGTGCACACTTTGTTCCTTATGTATACATACATACCATACCTAGTTAAAGTTCCAGACTTGTAATAAATCATTGCAATGGTTTATACACTCTTTGACATGTGATTAATAAAAATAAAAAAAATACAATATATATGCACTGATATTGCCTTTTAAATAATATTGTTTCAATTGTTTTTTTTTTAGAACCGAGTTCCACGTCAAATTCCTTTGGGGTAGCAAAGGGGCTTTAGCGGCGTCAGAAGACCGTCACTCCAAACTAGAAAAGGTGCTATCATTAATGGCTGATAAGTTCTGTAACGTCGATGGTAATACAGCAGCAGCATAAACATCCTTCAGTTATGTAAATAGAAAAAATTAATTCCATTTTTATATATGCAAAAAAGAAACCAAATCCATTAGTAATATTACGCATTAAGAAAGATCTACAATATAAATAACTACAATAAATCAAGTATAAATTTATACATGATATGAATTTATATATATAGTATATACATATACAGCAAAAATCAAAAGATCTATTAAGGACCCAGTATGATTTTGTAAACTATTTTTATTTAATTTTTAATTTGAAGATATTTTGTTATACACATATAAATATATATTGTACTTATATAAAAACTATTCAACCAAAAAAATACATAGGATCTTAAGTTTGTTCGCTAGTTTATCAAACACACCTATTTATAAATAATTAATGAGTTATTTAATATATTAAAGTAAATACATATGATATACATATATATTTATATTACATACATTACGATTATATTATATCTACAACTGTATACGATGCAGTAAATAAGTTAGCATTATTTTAGTTTTATTATTCTGTCTCCAGAGCAGAACGTGATTGAAATTATACGTATAAACTAATATGTAGTCTCTTCAGTTCGATTAAAACTATTTTATTTATATCTTATTTATTAAGTATAATTTATTTTGTCTTCAATTTTGTTTAAGTTTATAAATATGACATTGTCTAAATGTATATTGTCTATATATTATTAAATTATCCATTGCTTTACAGGACACCAAAGAAAATTTTATAATATTATCTAATGTTCTTGCAAAGCTATTCTATCTGTCAAATAAATAATTACCACTGTAAATGTAGTTTCAGTTTAGTTTATTTTAATCTGATATGGTTGTTTAAAGCCCAACCATTAAAAATCAAATATATCCAGAGGTTACTTGGTGACTGCTTAATGACTTTTTGTTCCTTTTAAAGTACAAAAATGTTAGCTTTATGAAGAGGCAGGTAATTTGGTAATTATTAATAATTAATAAATATCGCTAAATAATAATTTTGTTTGAAAATCGGAGAGTGAAAAGAGAGAGATTAAGAAACAATAATAGAAAAAGAGATAATGTGTTAACAAAAGTGCGACGTAAAAGTACCCCATGACTTCGCTCTTCTTTTGTATATATTATATTTCTCTATCTTTTTATAATTATTTTGCGTTGAAAAATTGCATATAAAAACCAACTTTTTATCTTTCTTTGTCAGCTTGCAATTTACC